AGAGGGAGGGAAAGAGAGACAGACAGGGAGGAAATGAGAGGGAGATGGAGAAAGAAGAAAGGAATGGAGAGGAAGAGGGAGGAAAAAAGAGATAGCGAGTGACAGAAAGAAACAAATATTGAAACAGATAGACAAACACATGATGAAGTGGAGGGAGAGAGAAAGAGAGAGACAGAGAAATAGAGAGACAGAGAAAGAGGGAGATAAAGGGGTGAGGGAGAGAGGATGAAGAGAGGGAAGGAGAGAGAGAGATAGAAATAGAGAAGGAAAGAAGAGGGGAAGGAAGGAAAGAGTAAATGGAAATATATACCAAGTAAATGTAAAGTATCTTCTATAGTGGGGAGAAAGGATTAGAAACTGGGGAAATCAGGAAGGACCTCATGTAGGAGGTGGCACGTGAGCTGAGTTTGAGGGAAGTTAGGCATTCTGTGGTACCGAAGTTAAAGGGAGGAAATTTCTGGCACACGGCACAGTCCTTGCAAAAGTGTAGAAGTGGAGCAGGGGGGCGGAAGGCATTGGAATGTAATTCTCTGTCCAGGAAATACAGAGCAATTTAAAGAAATAGGAAATTCCACAAGGCAAAGAGAAGCCTGATTGTGAAAGGTTTTCAATGTCCAGCAAGGTCATTTACATTTGCCCCTAGAGTCCATAGGAAACCACTAAATATTTTGGAACTAGGAAGTCAAGTGGCCAGATCTGGATTTTCAGGGAATCACGCTGGTGCCTATGGAGAGGATGCACTGGGTGAAGGAGCTAACCTGAGCTCCCCAGGAACAACAGGGAGGTTATTGCAGTGTCCAGAGGGAGAGATGATGAGAACTTGAATGGGTATAGTGACCTTGGGAGTAAAAGAAAGCAAATGGTTATGAAAGATGCTGGAAATTGATGATGAAATTAGGAAATCCAGGATGCTAATGGGTAGATGCAATGGAACAAACACATTAGTCATTAGAGTTCAAACAGAAAGAAAAATAAAAAGACAGAGAGAGACAGAAAGAGAGGGAGGGAAGCAGGTGGGGGGAGAGAATTAATACGCATTCATTCCAGGAAAAAATGTATTTAATTCAAAGGCCCTGATGGGAATCACTTGAACTAAAATTATATTCCTAATATTCTTATTGCACTTAACCAAAGTTAAAGGACTTATCCTCCCATAATTGATCAAAAGAGAAAATTCTCATTTACAGTAACTTCACTAACCTACTCAAGCTTTGAATTAGCCCAACCATTCTGAAAAGTAATTTGGAATTATTCTTTGATATCCTTTCACAAAGACATCTCTCTGGTGGATATATTCTACAAAACAACCAATGTCAACCTATAGACACACACAATTTGTAGTAGCACCTTTTGTTGTAGCAAAAGGAAAAAGAAAACAAAAAAACCCTATAAACCAAGTCCTTAGCATCAAATCAGGGAATGGCTAAACAAATCAGGGCACACAAGAGTAATGGCATAATCTTCTATTATAAATGATGAATATGAAAAGAAACAAAATAGAAAGAAGTCAGATAATCTGACAGAAGAAACCTTAAATGAGTAGATCTGAGAAAATGATATATGCAAGGTTGGAGAATCAGATTGATCAAGATGTGTTTATTGGCAAACTTACATGAACAGAAATTTAAACAATAATAATAGCTAGAATTTGTATGGTGCCTGCTATATGTCAGTCGCTGTGCTAAGTATTTTACAAATATTATCTCATTTGATCCTTTCGAAAACCATGGGAGGTAGGTACCATTTTTATTCCCATTTTACATTTGTGACAACTGAGGCAAACAGTGGTTAAGTGACTTTTTCAAGGTCCCCCATCTGGAAAGTGTCTGAGACTGGATTTGAACTCAGGACTTCCTGACTTCAGGCCCAGTGCTCTATGCACTACGCCACCAGGATGTCTGGAGGCCGTTAAAATATAACTTCACTGGCTCACCATGAAATGACGGTGATCATAGATATTTAAATACTCTACCATCAGGCACAATCCAGAATGACTTGGAGTATGAGGTCAGGGATGAACTGCATATTTGTTGACTGAAAACCAGTGTGCAGTAATTGGGAAAAGCTTTCATTGTATTAGCTGCATGGCAGTGAAATGTTCTTTTGCATCAAACCTCGAAAACGATTGATATTTCCTTACACCATACCAAGGTTCTGATGTGGGTCATTAGAGAATTGTCCACACCAAGGAGTGAAGAGATTGTATCAAATAAAAGCCAGTAAAGGACCATGTATAACAATCTTTTGCCTCTCTAAGGACCCAACATATTATGCAAAATGTCTTATGTGCCAAGAATAAATACAAACTATAATGTCTTCTGTTTTTAAAATACATTTCTCCTTTGCTTCCTAGGTCCCTGGATAAAAGATTCAGGAAATGTCTAACTTTACCATTGTGAAGGAATTCCTCCTCATGGGGTTTTCTGATATCCGAGAGCTGCAGATCATATATTCTTTCCTTTTCTTACTGATTTTCTTAGTTACCCTGTTGGGGAATCTGCTTATTGTCATTGTTACCACTATTGACAGGCGTCTTCACAACCCCATGTACTTTTTCCTTAGGAATCTGTCCGTCATGGATGCCTGCTACATAACAGTCATTCTCCCTAAAGCATCTACCAACTCCCTGTTGAACACCAGCGCTATCTCAAAGAATGAGTGTGTGGCCCAGATCTTTCTTGTAGTTTTCTTTGCCTATGTGGAGTTGACCTGCCTCACCATCATGGCCCGTGATCGCTATGTTGCTATATGCCATCCACTCCACTACACAGCGATCATGAGTCCCCGAGTCTGCATGCAGATGACCTTGACATGCTTTCTCACTGGCCTCGTGTATGTAGGTTTCCATACTGGTTACACATTTCGATTGCCTTTCTGCCAATCCAATGTGATCCATCAGTTCTTTTGTGACATCCCCTCTTTACTCAAACTCTCTTGTTCTGAGACCTTCAGTAATGAAATACTTATAGTTGTCTCTGTCCTGGGTGTTGGAGGTGGTTGCTTTACCTTCATCATTGCTTCTTATGTTCGCATATTTTCCACAGTGCTGAAGTTTCCAGTGAAAGAAGACCGGAGAAAAGCCTTTTCCACCTGCATCCCCCACATCATCGTTGTATTAGTGTTTCTGATTTCAATCTTTTTCGTGTACCTCCAGCCATCTTCATTTTCTGCATCCATTGAGGACATGATTCTTTCTGTGTTCTACTCTGCGATACCACCCTTCCTGAACCCCATCATATACAGTCTAAGGAACAAACAGATAAAGGAGACTATGAAAACAATGCTAAAGAGAATTTTTTTTCTAGAAGATAACAAAAACTATTAATCTCTCTAACTTCTCCAGTGTCTTACACTTCACATGGACACTTTTTACACTCTTCCCCCTATATATTCTGAGATCCACTAACAGTGCCCTTTTGCTCTTCCTCCTATTGGTTCTAATTCTTACTTGCAATATCACTAATGTGAAAATATGTTTAATAGGAATGTATATTTATAGCCTATATCAGATTACATGCTGTCTTGGGGAAAGAGGTGGGGATGGTGGGGGATAAAAATTTAAAACTCAGAACTTTATGGAAGTGATTGTTGATAAAGCAAAATACATTAATTCCAAAAAAGAAAGTAAGTTCTATGACTATCCCTATTTCACATATGAAGAAACTGAGATAGGCAGAGATTAAGTGACTTGTCTAGTTTCATAGAACTGGTAAGTGTCTGAGGCTAGAAGTAAACAGAACCTGGAAAATAATACATTCAATCATTATAACAAGGTAAATAGAAGTTACTAAAACCATAGCCAAATTGATCCCCAAAGAAGAGATAATAAAATCTTTCTTCTCTTCTTTGAGGATGTGGCAAACAGGAGCTAGAAAATTATATCGTGTGTGTGTGTGTGTGTGTGTGTGTATGTAGGTATGTATAGTACTGATTGATATATTAGTTAGTTTTTTCAAATTGCTTTTCCCCCTTCACCATTTAGCCTTGTGCTCCATGATAATAAGCCTCCTCACCTTGGGAATTTTGCACCCCATTGCTGCTATATCTTTCAAAGACAATCCCTTCTTCCCAACCAACTTCATGTCCATTTCTGTCTCTGAGAAAGGAATTGTGATTACTGGATAATGGTTTAAAATAAAAAAACAATACTCAAGTAACTGGCTTCTGAATAGGAAGGGTAGACACCTAAGAACTTAGAAGAACAAATTTTTCTGGAGTAGGGCAAATATAACAACAAGGACTGAAAAATGAGAAAGGAGGATAAAAACTGCATATGTATTTCCACCAAGGAAGAAGAAACAGTTCATAAGAAACAAAACATAAGAAGTGAGTCAGTCATATAATCCATGAACTGATTTGTTGTTGTTGTGGTTAGAATCTCTACAATGCTTACTATGTATTAAGTGCTTTACAAATATCATCACATTTGTTCCTCACAACAACCCTGTGAGGTAGGTGCTATTACTACTCTCATTTTAGAGTTGAGGAAACTGAGGTATATACAAAGGTTAACTGATTTGCACTGGGTCAAATAACTGGTAAGGTTCTGAGGCTAACTTTGAACTTAAATCTTCCAGTGCACTACAGCACTCAGTTTCCTACCTTTGGAAATAAACAATTCAGATCAAATAGGATACATAAGAGGGAAAACAAGGTGACAATGAATATTTAGACTATAGCACCCCTTATGGGACTGTTTCCCCAACTTGCAATTACACTGGCAGCTTGGGTTCCTAGAGAGGTAGGTGACTACTACTTCTCTCAGGCCATCACAGGCCATCCTGAGGGGCTAAAGTTTCTAGTACAGTTGTTTGTGAGCCCCCACCAGTGTGCTTTTCATTGATTGTCAACCAGTACTCTCAATTAGATTTTAGAAAAACATGTTTAGTGATAGGATAACCATTATGGAGAGATAGAAATTATAGGAATCCTCTCCCACATAGAAATTCTTAAAGGCAAAATATCTCAGTTAGAGAAATTGTAAAAGAAGGTAAAGCAAATACCTTTGAAAATGTTTTAAATGTGAAGTTTTAAAAAACATAATAAACAATCCACTTCAGAAAAAAGATAGTATTTTTATAAAACCTTCTACATTAATGCAGCATATCAAAAATGTTGAAGTCCAGCTTGTTTCCCAAACAGCAAAGAAAGATTCTCAGATAGATCTTGATTGGAGCAAAGTAGGCATTGCATATAACCTAATAATGTTGCCTAGGACTGAAGAATACCATAGATCCGACAAGAGATAGGGAAGGCTGATACTAGATACAATACTCTCCCTTCATAAAACCTCAGCTATAGAGGCCCTTATGGCAAAGAAACATGATGGAAATTAAAAGGAAATTAAAATGGACATATAACAGCAACCCTTATAGATCAAGATGTAGAAACACTAACAAGTCAAAAGAAAAATGGAGCTATCCAATCCATAAATATATTAACTTACAATGTTGTAGAAAAGTTTTTCTTTCCATTAATGTAATTCATTGTTAGCTAATAACTAATAACCCTGCAGCTTTTGTCCTGACTATGTTATTATGCTACTGAACTATTAGTGTTACCATTACTAGCACTGCAGTATTTGAGCTTTAAAAATTGTTATTACTGTTGTTGTTGTCCTAGTTGTTATTGTTATCATTGCTAATACTGTATTCTGCTACATTTCAAGCAACCTATTAAGAAATGCTCTCCACTAAGGTACATGTTTTCTATATTTTAATATTCAGGTCTCATTTGATGTGCTCAGAGAAGTTGTGAGATTCAAATGAGATAATGGATGTAAATCACTTTGCAAACCTTAACACACTATATAAATTCCAATTCCCGTAATTATTATTAACCTCCAGTCATCAGGGTTCTGCTCTGCTCATCATTTCATTCTTGAGCCTCCTACTGTGCTGCTTGAGCTCAAGCAATGTTTATTGAGCAACACAATCA